CCCCCAGCCTCTCCCACGCTGCGCAGTTCCCCGCTGACCCCCCCCATCCCAGACCCCTTATAGCCTCCCTTCAGGTACTCCGGCATATCTGATTATCTGGCACCCCCTGGGTCCTAAAGGTGCCAGATTATCGGAAGTTTACTGTATATGCAACCACACTTAAGTTGCAGCCCTCAACATGTGCTGTGAGTATCATCGTGGCCCCTGGGGGTTCCAAAGTTGAGCAGCCCTGGCATATACCCTGACTGGGAGGTACTACGTAAGTTGTTGTAGACATGTGACCTCGCAATTTTAGGCATTGTCTGGCTGAGACTGTGTATGAGTGATTCTGCTAATATGGCAAGTGCATGGAATCTTGGAAGAGGCAATTGTGCTTGTATGCAATCAATCATGGCCCCTATGAACTTGAGTTCTTGCAAAAGGTTTAGGTTGGACTTCTGCATGTTTATTTGCAGCCCCAGATCTGTAAAGAGTCTAATTGTGGCTTCTGCGGATTGCCTGGCTTGACATTCCGTTGAAGCTACTATCAGGCAATTGTCCAGGTACGGGTAGATTACCCTTCCTGATTTTCTCAGGTGTGTCACTGCAATGGCCAGAATTTTGGAGAAGGCACTGGTGGCCGCTGAAAGGCCAAATGATAGCACTCGATACTAGCACTGTTCACTGTTTAGTGCAAATCTGAGAAATTTCTTGTGAGAGGGTCTTATTGAGATGTGAAAATATGCATCCTGAAGGTTGAGGGACGATATCCAGTTTCCTCTTCCTAGTGGAGGAATTATCTTTGCCAACATCGCCATTGTGAAATGTTGATTTTTTTAAGTACTTGTTCAACCTGCTTAGGTCTAAGATGGGCCTCCATCCTCCCGTCTTCTTGGGAGTGAGGAAGAATCTGGAGTAGAACCCCTTTCCTCTGTGATGGTCTAGGACAGGGGTCTCCAAACTACGGCCCGGGGGCCGGATGCGGCCCGCGAGGCCCTCTCATCCGGCCCGTGGAGACCTTTTTGGATTCAAAGGCAGAAGAAGTGAGATTGTTTCAAAACCCATTTGAAGCAGATGTGGCCAGTTGCCCAGATGAACTGCAGCTGGAAGTCATTGAGTTGCAAGCAAATGACCTCCTTAGGGACAAGTTCAAAATAGGACTGGTGGGTTTTTACCAGTTTTTGCCCAAGGAAGACTTTCCTAATGTCAAAACTTTTGCATCAAGGTACCTTTCAATCTTTGGAACAACATACCTGTGTGAACAAACATTTTCAAGAATGAAATACGTGAAGAACAATTTGAGAACAAACTTGTCCGATGATAATCTCAGGTCACTGTTGATGTTAGGGACAACAAATCTAAAGCCAGAAATGTCTGCTATTTTGGCATCCAGGAAACAATTTCACCATTCACACTAATACAGGTGTTCATGTGTAGTGTATCAATGTGTTATTAAATAATAACTGAATAAAATAATATTAAATAAATAATTAAAAACAACATCCATGTTTTGATTGTTTTTTATTTGGACCTCAAGTGTGTAGTCGGCCCCCGAACTGCTGTTTGATAGTTAATGCGGCCCTCGGGCTGAAAAGTTTGGAGACCCCTGGTCTAGGACGATTTCTATTGCTTCCATTGGTAACACTTTATTTATTTCTTGTTGTAACATGGGCTTGTGAGAAGGGCCCTGAAGAAGGACAGGGAAGGGGGTTGGGTTGGTGGAAATTTGATGAATGGGATTGCTAGGCCATTGCTCAGGACCTCTAGGGTCCACTTGTCCGTTGTTATTGCGACCCAGATTTTGTAGAAGGGCTGTAGGCTGAATCTGTAAGCTCTGGCATGAGGAAATGACATTGAACCCCTGACCAAAAGTTCAAAACATCTGCCTTCCGTTGGCAGACTGGGGCAGCATTTGTTGATCCTGTGGCTGTCTCAACTTCTGTTGCCTCAGGTGGTTGTAGGGCCTCTGGCGTACATAAGATGCTGCTCTGCTCCCGGGCATATACATTAAATTAACTTTTTTCTTTTGTTGGGGGAATGTATATACTGAAGGTTTTGAGGGTTGTCCTCGAATCTTTTAGAGAATGGAGTGAAGTATCAGTATTGGCCGCAAATAGATTCTGACCCTCAAATGGCAGGTCTTCAATGGTATTTTGTACTTCTCTGGGGAATAGTAATAGAGATGTAGCCATGTTAGTCTGGTCTTGCTGAAACAAAAGACAGGACTATGCAGCACTTTAAAGACTAACAAGATGGTTTATTAGGTGATGAGCTTTCATGGGCTCAGATGTGAGGAAGTGGGTCTGGCCCACAAAAGCTCATCACCTAATACATCATCTTGTTAGTCTTTAAAGTGCTGCATAGTCCTGTCTTTTTTTTTGTCTGGGGAAGACTGACAAATGGAGCTAGGAAATCCTGTGCATGACCACTGATGTGGCAAGAGACTTGGAGGCCGTATCTGCCTTGTCCAGAGAATCCTGGAGGGCCATCTTTGCTATTAAGATACCCTCTTCGATGCTAGATTTGTAGGCTGCTTTGTCATCTTCTTGTAATTTATCAATAAAAAGTCTCATTTTATCAAAATGGTTGTACATGTATTTTGCAGAAGGGCAGAATAATTTGCCCTTTTTATGAAAAGGGATGAAGATGAATAGGATTTCTTACTGAGGAGGTCCAATCTTTTCCAATTTTTGTCATAGAGGATTGATCTAAATTGTATTTGTTTTCCCCTGTTATTTGTGGCATCAACTTCGATGGAGTTTGGGGTGGGGTGTGAAAAAAGGAGACAGACGTGACTAACTTTCTAAAAGTACTTAGCACTATAATAATAGCTAACAGTATCTATGGACTCTAGCTAAGCTATCACAGAGTGCTGCTCTGTTCTGACTGAACCAGGAGTGGTTGAGAAAGAACTGAGGTGATGGTTGATGGTGTGTGTGTGTGCACGTCACCACGCTCGCTGTGGTGCAAGCGGTGCTGTGCTTGCATGCCAGCACTCAAGAGGGGTACTACTGCCAAAAAGTTCCAATTAGAAGCGCAGGGGCGCTGAAACATCTAAAGTGGAGCACGCACAGGGACACTCCTCAAAAAAGAACAGTAAGTAACAGAGTCTCATTCTTTGGGACATATGAGAATAAAAATATCTTGCAAACTGAAAGAAATGAATAGAAGCCACACAATTCAGAGTGTAATGCTTGACAACATTCCATTGACATTTAAAATAGATATGGTGTTCTTTATTTCCTGTCCTAAATTTGTATATTATTCACAGTTAGGCAGCTGCATGGTTCCACTGCAAGAACATTTTGATTGGTCACATGATTCCTGTACATGTGAAGTTTGTAAATCTCCTTCTAATTCTTTGGTACCAAATATACTGTTTAAATGTACTATTTAAATTATTCTAGAGAGCAGGGAGAGCTACTGCAGTGGTGGAAGGCAAAAATTTTCAGGGCTTGTCTACATACACCAGCAAAGTACATTAGAGGGGCGCAATCATATTATGATCTAACTGACTCATGTAGACCTTGCTGGAAGACTCTAAAAGGTATCTAGTTTGTGTGACAAAGTCTTTCAACAGAATGCAAACTAGGTACCTTTTAGAGAATGCCTACAAGGTCTACACAGGGCAGTTAAGAGTGCAACTTGTTAGCACGCTTTATAAATCACACTTGTGTGCTGCACTGAAAAGCACTCATTTTTCTTCAGATTGATTTGCATTGGCTGATACAGGTTTGACCAAAAAGAAACAAACTTATCACTACTCAAATGTGGAACTTATAAGAATGAGTATTGGCAATGAATGACAAAACTAGTGTACAAAACTAGTACACTACCTGCAAAACTCAGAATAGTGAAGTTTCTCTTTTCCTGCTCTTCCAAAGAAGTGCACCAGCAATGTTGTATTAACACCAGAGCCTTCCAATTCTGTTTCCTACAAACAAAAAATAAACTTGTATAATCAATTAGTAACAATTAAACATGAAATTAGCTATGCACATTTGAACTACTAGAGTTTCCAAAAAGTTACTTGTAATTTAGCTATTGTTCTTACAGACAGAATGTAGAAAATTTCAATACAAAGCTGAATGGTTCTCTGTCAAGCTGAATTCTGACCTCAGTGTTTGATGTTCTGCTACTGATATGAAATTTAGTAGCTAAACATCCTTCAACCAAATAACACAATTTTCCTTTTAGTTGGTAAAAGGATTATAAAAGAAATAATTGGAGAGAATTCTATTCAAGAAATAGAAATAATCTGACTGTATTCCCTATTATTACTGATTATACAGTAATTTGCATTTTTATCTATATACTGTATAGCTCTTCATTCTCATAATCTTAACATCTTCCTTTTATATTTTTCTTTCTCTTATATACAACCATATGTTGCTTAGAACACACAGCATCTACCTGAACTTGGCAAAGTATCCTGACAATATTTACTCAAAATAAAATCATAATCCACAGTATGTGTCTTTGACCTATGATTCCCATTAAAGTAACCATTTGGGATAGGAAATAACATCTGTCTTGAAAAAAGGATTTTTTCCAGTTTTATACATGCTTTAAATCAGTTAAACTCTGTAACTGTCATGAAACCAGATAGCATGCTAATATCGACTTTAATGTTATATAGCACAACATACTTTTCTATGTTCTTTGTTATTAGTTACTGACAAAATTGCTGGTTAGCTATTCATCAAGCTTCATTTTTAGGTTTATATAGTCTTTCAAATCAATTTAACATTTAGATAAAAACAATTTTCAATTAATTAGTCTGGGTTGGTTTGGGAACCTTCAGCTCCAGCAACACACAAATTCTGATTTGTAACAAAGTAATAAATTAGTCTGAAACATACACACACACACAGACATTTACATGTATGCATTCATTGATCATGTTTTTTTTTTATATTGTTATAAGGCTGTTTGTTAATCTCAATGTTCTCTAACAGCTTCTTCTTTTACTGTACGATTTTTTCTTTTTGAAAAAATAGTTCTACAGAAAACAAATAATAGCTCAACTACTGCATCTTTAAAAAGCCTAAAGCCACACAGTGTGCTGGATTTCTGTGTTTTATTCTTCTTTCACCACTAGCATAGTGGCTTTTCTTTGAACACAACAAAACACTAAGCAACATGAAGAGAGATTTTTTTGGAAGTCCACAGGGATTTCAACAGAACTATTCTTATGACATCTAAATAGCCTCTGTGTTTTTTTTCCTGCAGA